AAAATAAATGATGTGCATCAGGAACCTGTAATGTCTAACATATGTACCAAGTTTGAACGAAATCCATCCATAAATGCTTGATATTTGATGATTTTTTAGCACAAAAATGGCCACCATTTGGCCATTTTGAATAAGATCGTCAAACCAATATATCTGTCTATCTATGACATGATGTATAATGAATATTTAAAATTTGAACATAATCAGTGAAAGCAAGTCAGAGATCTGGCACGAGAACCACATTAATTAAAACAAAATGGCTGCCAGTCGGCCATTTTGAATCTTATCTGAAAAATAAAATTATTTGCATCAAGGTCCCATAATGTCTAATGTATATAGCAAGTTTGAACAAAATCCATCTGTTAACAGCTGAGAAATGCTTGTTTTTGATGATTTTTAGCACAAAAATGGTCGCCATTCCACCATCTTGAATCAGATCGTGAAACAAATTGACGTGCATATGTATACAATCATGTATGATGTATGTGTGAAGTTTGATTGTGATTGTTCCAGGCATTTCTAAGATACAGGTCCGGACGCACGCACAGACGCACGCACGCATGGACACACGAAGGTCAAAACGTTAGATCCGAACGGGGACTAAAAAGTTGATGCGCATTGAATTTTCTCTCCTTATTTTTTCAACGATGTATAGTTGAGAAGTATACTTGAATGATAAAGCAACTCAACCAGCAGCATTATAATATAGCGAACATAGAAATATTGATAGTTCAGGTATAACAGTCTGTAATGGTAACCTGATATCAATATTTCTACTTTGTTTGCAAAACAGTGAGATATATTGTAATACTGCTGGTTGTGTTGCTTTTTTGTTCACAGTAACATACTGTGCAAGAAAATCCACATAATACCGTATTACCACACTAAATAATGGTCAGACATGCAAGCTATATTAAACATTTCCATTTTTGGTCACCAGAGGGTGAACTCTCGTATATGAAGTTTGTTTCAAGTCTAACAGCAAATTATTTAAAAGTCATTTAATGAGTATTCCCTGCCAAGGCATTATTTCCAGTGTATGAAATGGAGTTAGTAATAGCCTTCAGAGCAATAATTTGGTCAGGTGACCCCATTGTTATCTTGAAATATGCAGTATTTACTGTGAAGACGTCACTAAATGGCAATAGTACTTACCTTACAATAGTCTGTATCTGTTCTGGTGCCAAGCCTATAACTTCAACAACAGGCGCTTCAGCTTCTTTTTTATCATCAACACCATCTTTCTTACTCTCACTGTTACGTTCAGTTGCTTTATCTGCAAAGAGTTTTAAATTACATGACTAAGACTGACTTGCACATATTAGCTACTGATGAATTTAAGCGGACTGGGTGCAAAAATCCCTACTTTTACATAGTATTAATCTCACTCATTATAAAATGAAGATTCCCAGCAAAACTTAGTTTCTTCTGATTTTCATATTACCTACTCGACGGTGATAGCGCCCATGCTAAGTGCCAACCCCCAATTTTGGGACATTTTCAGTTTTATGTTTGGCTGAGCGCCCATCCTCTTCAAAATACCCTTAATTGGACTGTCTAATCATAAAACTTGGTCTTTGATCATTGTTTAACGTTTTCAAATACTGGTAATCGTTTTTATATGATACAGCGTTAATATTGACTGCCGTGAATCTGTTGTGAATGCGCAGACCACGGTAATCATGAATAAAATATAACAAAAGTGAAATGCAGTAATTACTTATGCCATATTCAGTTTATCTATCAAAAATTGCTAGTTACCAGTTTTTGAAAAAAAATCAATCCAAACATATAGTACTGCGCCTTCCGCATTGCGCTACCAGAAAGTCTTGTACAACACAGCATTCTGATTAGTTAATAACAGACTAGACACATTAGGTCAAAGAAAGAAAAGACAAGCAGTCTGTCGGCAGAGATAGCTCCGCTGTTAGCAATGTACATTTCAATTAAGAACTGAAGATATCATTAGAAAATGAACAATATGTATAGTATCAAAGCAATCGGACTTGTGGTTTTTAACAAGAAGTCGAAAATATCACTTTTTACCAAAAATGACAAAAATATTCACCAAAAATAGAGAATTTGAGATTTTGACATGAAATGAACAAATCTGAAAAAGAACAATCTAAGGTACTGTGTCGACAACGGAGCTAAAAAACATCATGGTGGAAAGTGCTTTTCATCGAGAGTTGGTGTATGATCCAACACGTTCGTCAGTGGAGATAATGATAAAGATTTTGACTTTGACTGTGTTCCAACATACTCTAATATCTTTAACCTCGTAAATTCGGGTCGTACGTAATTGATATTATAATAAAATGTGAATATTTTTGTGACCATTTTTAATTTTTTAATTTTATTTCTCCCCAAAGTCATAATATCCCCCTCAATCTGTCACATGGTGAATTAAAATTGTCATTTGCTCTCTTTTCCAAGGGGAGTGCTCGGGTAAGCGCCCACCCCTAAACAAATCGTGATTCTCTGAGTTAAGGACACTGGGCGCTAACATGGTCGAGTAAAAAAGATTTTCCATTTACTGCAAGATATTGCTTAATGCGTGAAGGATTGAATGTTTTAATTTTGAATGTGAATTTCCCTTTTTTAATGGTTCAATGTTGAAATTCAAAATTGACCATCATCATTAATGTGTATAAGCACATTATGAAGCATGGAAATACCAACAAATAGTTTTGCATTTGTCGGGTACCATGTGATGGTCTGACGCCGATATGATCTTTGTCCTGTTTTAAGTTTTGATTTCATGCATATAACGCAGAATCTTTCAGGGAAAGATAAATAGTCTATTGGCTGGCAATACAGCTGTGTTGCAAATAATGTTATTGCTTATTTGCAAAAAAACAACTGTTACAACACAAGGACTTACCTTGATTTTGTACAGAAGTTGACAAAAGGCTTTCATCAATCTCGGTCTTTCTCTTCTTTCCAGAATCTGCTGATTCTTCCACACTGTATTTAAGTTGACTGGCTGCTTCCTGTGGTTCTTTAACTTCTTTTTGTATCAAAGATAACATCACTGGTCTTCTGTTTCCAGTTTCTTCATTCACCTGAACAAATTTAAAATCAGACAAAATGAAGATACACTTTTTTATACAGTGAAATACATTTACACATCTTTATCTATCATTTTGCTAACTAACACAAAAGAAAATATCATTCATATTATATAATCCAAGCATATACTGTTTAATATTTTTGAAACTTAAAACAAGAAACAAGATACATGTTTATGCAAGGAGTAAGAAGTTTAAATTCGCATCCTGACTATATTATAGATCTAATACTAAGATGATCACAATGTCTCTAATCACTGTACAGACAACTCTGCATATGTCACTGTTACAAGACTGAATGCTTGTTAATTTTTCTGCAATTTACAACTACAAATATCATAGTACTGATTGTATGGCACATTTGATTACTTGACCATTGTTTATGAATTTCTTTAAAACAGATTTGTGGACAGAGAAGAAAAAGAAGACCCTTGTTGATAAACTATTGTCAATCACTGTTATGCAGTAAATAAACTATACTTTGTTATGTTTATAAGCAGTCTTTGTGTATTGTGTATCATTTTAATAGACTGTCAGTTAGCACTGTAAATTTGAACAGCCACACCTCCATAATTCTGGTCACAGCAATTAGCAAAGGCCTTTAAAGCAATCACAATTTATATCATTCACACACTTTTCACAGGGCTTTCTGACAAAATTCAGAAATCAACCCCTTTTCCTCCATGACTGTCATGCATTGTTGAGCCCTATTATTCTTAAATGTGTAAGGGGACTCACCTGTACCATGTGGTTGAACTGCACAGTATATCTTCGTCTCCCTGCAGAAAATCTAATGTTGGTTTCCCCAGCATAATAGGCATCATCTATGGTCTTATTATTACTGGCACTATAATGACACCATTTACCATTCCTATCATCAAACCACTTCCAAGTATGGGATGCAACCTAAAAAAACAAATAAATCAATAACTTGTTTTCCCATTGAGTTACTCAAGATTCAAAAACGCATGTACTACATTTAGCAAAACATACGACATACCTTTCTTTGCTCTTTTCTTCTTTTAGTTCCCACTGAGGTCTTTTCATAGAGATCAACAAGCAGCATCAACGGTGCTAGGTACCTGCAATATTACAGGAAAAAAAACATAAATTTTTGAACAGGGAAAATCTATTATAGCTAGAAACTCGTATTTTAAGCAAGTAGATGAAAAGAACATACTTGGGTGTGGTGGTATCTTTAGCAGCAGCAAGACAATGCTGTGTGCCATCAAGTAAGCGAACTAAGACATCAAGAACGCCTGACTTTTCAACTGCCTGAGCACACGGTATCTTCATTGCCTGCAAGATACAAGCATACTTTAAATCATATGAAACTAAACAGTTAGGTCATAAGAAGGTAAATTACAGTGGGTGCCAAAATAGAATGCAAATATAATACAATATCCCTTGGAAAATTATTTGCCATGTTTGTTTTGACTTCAAGTTTGGCACTTTCTATTCTAACTGCCAGGGTCCCTGGACACAACCATATGATCAGTTTATTTTGGCGCTTATTGTAACAAATATACAATGATGAGAAACACAGCAAAGATATGGCATATCAAACAAGCATAAATCCTATACAAAGTAGTTCTGTATTGTTACTAGGACCAGGGCAAGACCTACCTTCTATATAAACACACACCATTATATAGTCTCATAATCATGATTTACCTCAAATAACAAACTGAACAGATGTATCCTTGAAGCTAGCTTGATAGATTCTGGTACTGCAGTGAGTTGTTTAGCCCATTCTGACACTGTTCTAGTGTCGCTTACAGTCATCGGGGCAGCAGCTTCTACCAGTACCATAGCGCACTCAAACACCTGAAAATAGAAGAAAATAATGTATTCATATACCTTGTACCTGTGATAGAGAATTTCAACAAAAAATATCCAGAAAGAAACACTATTGGGGTTTTATACGCCTATTAATGATGTAAAGTAGGTGATCTCTACAACTGTCATGCAAGACAGGCATATATTTTGTTTTCTTATTTGCATATCGTCAGATGCTAAAGGTAGATGTGACATAGTGGAAATCATCAGTCACTCAGTAAAGCTTTGATAATAAAATAAGATTCAGCATATATCCCTGACAATGCAACTTAAAAAGATCCATTCCATTTACCTGTTGAATAAGACACATAAGCATATCGTCTCTCCATTCATCACCATTCCTGATTTTAGACACCACCAACAAATCACATATTCTATATACAGTATCTGGCAATTCATCTAACAATTTCAGACATCCTGGTAACATCTTGCCAGTAAAGTTATCCAGCACAGATTTCTCAAGGGGATCTTCCTCTTTAATTTTATCTTTCTCCTCTAGTGATTTCCTTTTCTCCACCTTCTTCTTTTCCTCATCTTCTTTCTTTTTCTGTTCCTCCTCCTGGAAATGTTAACAGGTGGTTACGAGAGCATCTTAGTTTATATCATTGTTTGACCTTGAAACTTAAATTTTTCTTTAAGGTAGCGGGAGTATTATTGACATACTTGTTTTCATCTTCTGATTGTGACTAAACGACTACAAATAGACCCAGGAAAGTATATATTTTTGGAATCGACAGACTTCAAGCTTTTCAAAGGTTTGTTTGCCATGCCCGTATCTGCATTCTACGGTGCGTTACTTAATCGAAAGTGAAAAAACACTTTTTTTGTAAAAAAAAAATAATTACGCATTTTATGCTGGTGATAAGAAGTTTTTTTTTCACTTTTCCAAGTTGTTCAAAGTCTGGTAAATTGAATGTGTCTGGTCAGTTTTATTCAAGCAATGCGTTTTGAAAAGTAGTGTCCTGAATTTTAATTTCTGTTTAGTCGCATTGCCCCCAACTCAAACCACAACACATTGGTAAATAATCCATGAAACTAATTTGTCTGGACACATTCAAGTTCCTCTCATTGTCACCTTAAAGCTGTGAAAATTTGGTGTTAATCCGACGACAATAAGTATACGTTATTTTTTGTTAAAGACCTTGTATTTTGAAAAACATAAACTCCTAGAAAACGTCCATGAAGTCACAGCAAAGATTTTCAAGCTTGTTTATCGGCACAATCGATTTGTTTTCCCATCAATGTCTGTTTTAACATGTGTAGGGGCATCCAAATGTGTAAGGCTATTGGAAACCAAAAAATAAAGGAATGGAATAGCTATAATTCGATAAAATGGGCAGATGAAAACACCAAAATCAATGATTTTTTTTCAGTGGCTGTGTGACCTTGTGTCTGACACATTTATATGCAAATGACTAATCTGTGAAATAAACAGGGCAGAGACAAACCACTCAAATGTTTATAAACACTCATTGTGTGTCAGACAGCTACTGATAACACATCCTAACATTACTTTGTCTTGAGTTAATCTTTG